ATTTTATAATTTGTGAGCTTAAAATAACAAAAAAGAGCCGATTCTTTCATCCATTTCATTTCATTTTCTTCATCTTTGAATGGTTCCAATACAAGAGATAGAAGTTTTCATTTTTGAACAAGAAAATGAAAGACTCGGTTGTTCTCTTGTCGAACGGAGTTGTTCAAGTCGGTTAGCAACCCGTAGTCCTCGTTACTCGTTCTTTTCCCTGGTATCAAAGTTCCATTCGGAAAACCCTGATCGTGCCGTTGTTAGTTCGCTAGCTCTGTTTCTTGCGTTTTTTTAAAAGTACTCGAAAGATCTTATGGGCGTGAAATTGAGGAAGAAGCTGTTGTGAGATGGCCTTTGTAGCCTTGACAGCGAACAGTTTCTTCCTCTATTGGTTTCGTTTTGATCGTTGTATAAGAAGCTAGATCTTGTTTTTGATTTTAACTGTACGATTGAGCACTTCCTTGTAGTTAGTTGTTGTAGTCTGAGCTCATTCCCCTATCCTCCTTCGTTTTCATCGATTTTCCCCCATTCCTCCCACTAACGTTAACTTACAGGTTATCGATTGATTTCCTGTCTCAGTCCTTATGGTGTCGTTTATCCTGTGCAATTTGAAAACTTTTTCTTCTTCTTTCTCGTTTTCACTTCTTTGTTAACATCTTTCTTCATTCTCATTTTTTTGTTTTCATCTTCTCTCTATCAAGTTGAGAGAGAGAAGAGATTTTCATTTTTGAATGTAAAAATGAAAACCCGGTTGTTCCCTTTTGGAAAGGAGTTCAACTGTGTTCTCAGGTAGCAATCTTCATTGTTTCATTCCTTGTTTGGTATTTTTCTTCCGTGTTCACGCTTTTCTGATTCAGTTTCATGAGCTGTGTCTGATTGTGGTATGCGCTTTTCATTCCATTGATGCTCTGAAAAGTTATTCTTCCTCTTTCACTCTCTTTCCTTTCATTCTCCGTGCCTTGGACGCTCATTCGAAACGAATCTTTCTCTCTAAGTTTATACTTTCTCATTCATACTCATTCAATCATCACGTTCATGTTCCTACTCATTCGAACCGGCTTTCCATGCTCTTTCCTGATCTGCTACGCGCTTTTCGTTTTGGTTATGTCGGGAAATGTTTTTTTTCTCGAACTTTCATTTGGTTCAGGTAACCAAAAGTTGTTTTTCCTTCTTC